CTATACGCCCATTAGGAACAAAAGGAGGAGGGGAAGGGGGACAGATATTTTGGTTTTTAGGGGACAATTACGCCGACTCAAATCTGCGTACGACGAGGAATCCCCCAAGACCGGGAAATTACCCAATAAACATTTGGACGTAAAAGCGACGTCGTCTGAGGCGACCCAACGTCGGCAGCCGACGTCGTATGACTCAAATGACGACCATCATTTGTACCTAAATGGAGCGAACAAATTTGGGTCGTCACGACGTCGGTTGCTGACTAAGAAGTCGAGATTTTTACCTATTTCGTAATTACGCTGCACAAACAAATAGTCGTGCGTTAATAAAATAACTTAATCTCTACCAATATTGTAGAAAGACATAGAAATGCCGACTCTTTATGGAATGAACACGTATAACAATGTAGTAATGTATTATTTGACTTTTAACGGGTGATCTATATTGAAATATCCATACGAAAGGCACTTTACTGATAAATATGGTTATGATTGCTGGCAAAACATGCGTGGGCTTTAAAAAATCTTTCAGTTTTGCATATTTAAATATTTTTGCAAAAAAATAAGTTTTAATAAAAATGTGTTTTTTACACAAAATTTGAACCAGTTCTAAAACACTAACTTAAAAAACATAAAAAAGTTGTTATTTTATTTCAATGAACCGTAAAAATCTAAAAAAAAGCAAATCTTTCTTTAATGGCGTCCATCGTCACCTCCTCGTTTTGTTCGCGAAAATGGCGTAGTCAACAAATTAACCAAATTTGTCCAAATACCAACCGACGGTCAATAAAAGACGTCTTAACGACGTCGGTAGCTTGAAATACCAACTTCCGACGAAGTTTGAGACCTCGAGTCATTTAAACTACCTAATTTTCCCTCGTACCTACCTAACCTGAAAATCATATGTCAAACTGCGCGCTCTTTCTGTTAGGGAAGCAATTCGGTCCAATGTTGGTACTATTATTGTGTGTTGTCTATGTTATTATGGAGCATTTTAAAATGATGTAAGTTAAGGATTTGCCCCAAGGGGGAAGTGGAGCCCGTGCCGCATAGGTGGGAAGGGAAGGAGACACTCTGGTTCCCCAAATCAGTGAGCCAAACGATTCTCTTTTGAGAACAAATTAATAGTTCTCCCGAAAAAAAAAATTGGAGGCAATATAAGTGCAAGGCTATTCAACCTTTAAATTTGCCACGGATGCTGCAAACAATAACTTCAGCATATATTTCAATATATGTATGGGGGCCTTGTGCTCTTGTTCAGATGCTGATGTCTCTGACACAGATACCACAGTTATTGTTTCATGAATACTAAGACTCTTAGTCTAAGAGAGAGGTAAAACCTTCCCTAAAATATAAAGAGTATGATGATGTACCATCATATAAATTGGCTAAAGAAAATTTTATACCGCAACTAGCCAAAAAAGTGTGTCAGAAAAAGGCGGACGAAAACACTACAAAAATTCTTTTTTTCTTTTGGCATTTTTTTTTATTTTAATATTGGTTATGTATACTATTTTCTTCTTCTTCTTTCTTCTAGACTATATTCCACAGGTCTGTGCTATATTCCCGTCGAACAACTCTCGTACTTTTTTTTAACCAAAGTGAAAGTTACGACTTGACGTTCAACAGACGTAAATATACGTCGAACAATGACTTCGGATACAAAGTTATTATCCGACCGAAATTTTCACTTAAAGCGACGTCGAACATAGTGCAAGTTTAGTCGGAAGTCAGAAAAATGTTTATTGGGTAGTGTTACTCCAAACATTTGGGATTACTATTTGGAGTTGGGGAGTTGTTAGTTAGCAAAAGGGACTTGTCTTCCTTGTCGTAGGCTACGGCTTGGCCGTAACCCTGTCTCTCCCCCTGTGGTTTTCTTGCGACGTAGAAGACGTCCGATGCGGCAAGTGTTGTTTCCACTCCTACCCAATAGCCGTTTTTGCCCTAGTCGTTTAAGCACAGTATACAGTTATTTTTACTGTTCTCTGCTTAAAATACCCCATAGAGACCCTGTTCAAACCGATAGATATTTGTATCACGATGTATAGTGTTTCTATAGGGTGTATCGGTTTGTATAGGACCCATAGTTGAGATTTATGGTTGTTCTATAGGGATATCCACCCTTGATTTATTTGCTATCGGTTTCAATGGGGAAAATACACATAAATGTAGAAATTAGTTTTTACCCTATAGGACCCCATAGGTTTTAATAAAATTTTGTCAAATGTTTTATGGTTGCTCTATAGGGATATCCCTATATATCCTTCATTAAGTTATTTGCTATCGGTGTCAATAGGGAAAATGTAAAAGTTATGGTGTGCCTATAGGTAATTTCCTATACTTTTTCTATCAGGCCGTATCCGGAAAAAACCATGGACAAATGCACATATTGAATCCGGTAGCGCCCGATTTTTTGTATAGGTCTTTATGGGGTATTTTAAGCAGGGTTGTACATCTTTGTCTTTTAAGATTTTACAACGACTGCTGAGTTCGATTATTGCATTTTCGACGTAGGGTCTATAGGTTTCTAGGAGCCAATGTTTATTATTGTCTCGGTTAGTTTACTCAATTTTGTTTATTGGAAAAGATCTTTTAAATTTATGGATTTTGTGACTTACTTGCTGATTGGTTTATTTGTCTTGCATAGCTGTAATACCGTGAATGCCAGCGATAAGAATTGGAACGGCTTGGTTTTATTATTTTTCGTATTGTTTAGTTACTTTTCTCTTGTTAATAATGTTGCTGTCGCTTTTTGTTTTGTTATGGTTTTATTTAATAACAGAGTTGTGTTTAAGCGAAAATAACCGCTCTTAGTGTTGTGAAGGTACCTGAACGTGGTTGATGTTGAAAATTTACGTATTAGGTCATGTATTCAGTTAAAATAGTACTTATCAAATGTTTGCAGATGATGGCCCTTTCCGCGCTTGGTTAGCCTTGTTTGATCTTCATAAAATGCTTCCTATTATAAGGTTAGTACCTGTCACTTATTACTTTCGTGACCGTAAGGCAGCCTTTAATTCACTGTAGATACAATGCATTATAGTTTATTTGCACTGTAGGAGTAGTTTCTGGGACATACAATTTTAGTTCTAAGCGAGGTCTCGGTTACTATGTCTTACCTTGTCAAGAGTTCGAACGTGACTGGCCTTTAATAGTATTTTTTTGCGCAAAGTAATTTTTTCGGACTAACTGCTTGCAATTGCTGTAGCTTGCGGAAAAATATAACTTTGAGCAATAACTATTTCAATAGTTTAATAGTAAATTAAACTACACACATATATAGAATTTGTATGAATTAAACATTTTATATAAAAAAATTATCCGAATAAAAACAGAGTGCCTTGTGAGGTAAATAATTTAATTTATTCATAACATTATGTATGAAATATATATTTACTCAAAATAAATTATTTAACATTATTATACAAATTATGGAAATTTACATTGATTTATTTGTACCATAAAAATATTTTAAGTCAATTAAAAGGCGTTTTCGGAAATCTACTCGGGTGAGTGATCCGGCACCTGGAGTTCGTTTACTTCCCCGATCACTTTTATTCATAACCTTACGTCGTATTTATAAATAAATTATATAAATACAACTGATAATACCCAGATAGCACAAAGGTATACTATGGACGTCCAATGGACGTATGCTCGTGGATGTCTGTATGTACATAGGATGTCCATTTTTTTTCTATGGACGTCCCATGGACATCCGTTTAGAGTCCAGATGTCACAACTTTGGACATCCATAAGTCGTCCACCGATGGACGTCTATAAGGTGTTTGAACCATTCCTCCAGCATCCAGGACCTGCTTTTTTGCTTACTTTAACTGTTTTTTGCGACTGTATTTTCATTGCGATGTTGCAGAAAATTTTCTACAACATGAATGAAATGCCTTTTGTCTGGCTCAGTAACAATCCCACTAGGAATATAAATATTCTAAAAGTTATTAAAAGTTACAACATTCAATGTTTAACATTGCAGGAAATCCTTGTATTCGACGAACATTACATTTGCAATACTACAAGTGTTTAACATTTCATTGATAGCTTAAGTCCTTTATAGCACGCGCTTGCTTGAATGTCAGTGAGATTGATCATATCTGTTGTTATGCAGCCAACAATACGTTTTAACTTGCATTTCTGTAATACTAATTATGGACGTAAAATTGACACTATATGGACGTCCATTAAAATCGTACAAAGGATGTAAATATATGGACGTACATAGTACATCCATTTTTAGTCCGTGGACCAATGTACTTAAAATGGATCTTAAACGGACGTCCATTGGACGAATGGTGCTATCTGGGTATTACTTATTTTTTTTTAATTGTATTTTTCAGAATCGTTAAAAAATTAAATCAATTTTTTATTTAAAAAGGAGTGTCATATTTTGCAATCCGTGCTGTTAGTTTACTAAAGTTGCCAAGTAAGTAACCTTCGAGTTCTGGTCACGTGATTTTTGTTAGGTAACCCAGAGTATGTAGGTATCCGAAAACGCCTAAAATTATATAACACTTATTAATTACGTTTAACTAAAATAAATAATATTATTAAAATTGAGCACATTATTATGATAAATATTTATACAAAACTTTATAAAGCTAACTTTTATTTGGAAATAAATATTGTCTTATTTAACATAAACCTATAGGAAGACAATTAAAAATAATGGAATAATTATATTTTATCAAGCTAATTAATATTTTATTATTGTGTTTAATAAGATAGCAATTAAAAAGTATTTTTTTAACATTTTTGTTCTCGATTGCGTTAAAGTTGAGTTTTTCTTTACAATTTTAGCTTTAAAAGTGTATAGTATTAATATTTAATTTGTTTTATTTCATAAATAATAAATGTTTTGAAAACTTTTTAATTGCTTTCTAGACTTATACAAGGAGGTTTCTAAAGTTAACAGTTTTTAAAACTATAATCAGTCAAGTTACAAAAACATTCTTAAACAATATTAAGAAAACCATATCAAATATATAATACAATGTACAAATTATTTATTAAATGTAATATTTGGTAGATGTTATTTAGTTTTGTTGTTTTCTCCTATGCTGGTTTTACTAACAGACTCGATTATCTGATTTGTGGCCGAATTGCTTTTGGCCGCGACCAACGTATGCAACTCTTTCACATTGATAAGCATATGCTTGAGAAATTCGACGAAATTTGTGCAAATCTCGTTCGGCGTGTCGTATTCGTTCGGTACGATGCCTTCAACGCCCGATTCGAAATACGAATAGAGAGGAAACCACACTTTCGTTCTTGTCGAATCGCGTGCCATCAAGGCTTGGTTGTTTGAGAGGGTGTGATAGTACAAAAACAGCCTGCTCGTGATGTAAAACGCTACGAATACGTCGATGGAGTAGTGCTCGTGCGCGGCCAAAATGAAAAATATTCCGAACATGTTCATCATCCATGATAGCGTATGGAGATAGTAGATGTAGCTCGGAGTATCTGTTTAAAAATTACTCAATTAGTAAAAATTATTACTAAGACATTAGGTTTATTTGGGATTACCTTTGAAACCAGTTTGGTAGAATTTAGTATAGGCATATTTATAGTTATATGGTTCTAAACTTGTTCAAAAGTGATTATTGATACACGCATAAAATATTTTTTTTGAAAATTAAATTTTAGGTTTAAAATTTAAATATTTTTAATTATTTTGGGACTATATTTTAATACCAAAATATTTAATTACTAATAACTAATAACAAAACTTACTGAAAAAAATAGAAAAACGTAAATGTATGGCAAGCCGTTTTACTATTTAATGTACAATATTTATACAATTAAAAAAGAATAGGGCTAGGGATATAAAATTTACTGTATTTAATAGTATATTATGTATCAATTTTGATAAACGCCATTTTATACACGAATTTAATTTAGGCACGAGCGAGCTTGCGAGCGAGTGCTTAAGTTAATGAGTGTATAGAAAAGTTTATAAACGAGGCGCATACTATATTCTTTCTACGACAAATACTTATTATTATCTTAAAATGATTTAAATCAAAAATTTGTATAGAGCGACATCTATGAAACAACAGGGGAAACTGTCAAATGTCACATTTTTACATTTTGTAAACACAATTATAAAGGTTAAATCGAAATGTACAGGGTGTCTCATTTGGTTTTTCACTTTTTGAATTTAAAATTAAAAAAAAACCAATCGATCAATTTTGACAAATTTTTTATTAAACTAAAGAAAAAACTTGGGAAATTTATTTGTTTTAAATTATATTGTCCAAATGTTGCCCATTTTTTTCCTGACACTCTTGAAGTCGAGCTCTAAAATTTGCAATCACGCTCCGAAAAGTTTGCTCACTTATGGCTTTCATTTCTGCCCGAATATTGTGCTTCAAGTCCTCCAAATTGGCAGGGTGGTTACGATAAACTCGACTTTTAAGATATCCCTTCAAAAAGAAGTCGCATGGAGTCAAATCCGGGCTTCTGGGGGGCCAATTTATGTCACCTCTTCGGAAAATCAGTTTTTCAGGAAAAAACGCCTGAACAACGGGAAAAGATCGATTTGAAGTGTGACTTGTGGGCCCGTCTTGTTAAAACCAGCTTTCTTGGTCAAATTCTTCAAATTCTTGAAGAGCAGGTGTAAAAAAATCACGTATCATGTCGACATAACGCCTGCGAACCGACAAGTTTGGTTCCTGCCGCACAGACGCTCTCACCATCTCAATGTTTTCAGGGCTTCTTATTGTTAAACGGTTGGTTATGCGTTTATTTGTCGTTGAACCAGTCTCTTCAAACTTACGAACCCATGCCCTAATTAAATTAATGCCTGGGCATTGTTAAATGTCGTGTAAATTGTAATGGCGTCTAAACAAACGTCGAACGAGAGTGCAAGAATTGCTATTTTTATAAAACTCGCGCACACAAAAAGCGCGTTGTTCTCCTGTGTAACGCTGCATGTTGACTAAATTTCCCAATATCAAGCGTTTGTTTACGACTAACCCCACTCTTCCAACCCACCTAACAACTTTTTTACAGGGCCACAAAAAGTGAAAAACCAACTGAGACACCCTGTATCTTAAAAATTGACAGTTTTTCACAGTGAAAGTAAAGGAAATGTTTTATGAGGACTTTACAGTAGAGTCCGTGCCCGAATTTAAGTTATAGTTTACTGCCGGCGAAATTAAAAGGTCAGTACAATGTTCATATAAACTTTTCAAATATTGGCGTTGAGAAACTATTTAATATTTTTGTATTTTTGTATTGAGATAATAAAATAATTTTCACATTTAGTATTATTTTACAAGAAAGGCACTTTATTTTAACGATTGTATGACATTTGACAACTGTTAACTAACTTAAAACTAACTTCGCCCCGTGACTAAAAACCTGTTGCTAACTTCAGACCGTGACTAAAGCGCCGTAAAGCTACAACTTGTCAATGTGTATTTAAAAGGTCACTTAGTGTCATGGAAACATATACGATAAATGGCGTTTTAAAGGTGGGAGTAGAAAAAATACATTATATAGTAAAAGGGCTTGCCAACTTAGTGAAATTAATTTTAATTTGACTATATATTTTTTATCTTTAAATAATTAAGTTCAATTTTTATGATACCTTATTACAATTACATCATTTTTATTATTATGTAGATATAAAAACTAGTATGTTTTTTAAGTTTCACGTGATTTATTTATTTTTGACAATTGTTTCGTCACTTCTTCAGAATCATTTTTTCTGAAACAAACCTGCCTTGCACATGTTGAATTCATCGTCTACAATTATTAGCACCGTATAAAAATAAAATGTTACAAGAAATACCTACATATTGCAAAGGTGTAGATGTTGAAGTTTATAATTCAATGAATTATTTTTTAATAGGTGCACAAATATTTTAATTTTTATTTGAATCTTATTTTAAGTTGCAATGTTTTTCATAAAGACTATTTAAAACGTTGTAGAATAACTTTTATTGCTTGAATTAAAATGAGCTTTGAAATACTAATAATACATTCGAGGAAAAATGCACAAATCGATTTAATTTCGCTTAAAAACTGACTGTTTTATTGAAATAAATACATACAAAAGAATTCGCTGTTTTTGCTGGTATTTTTTAGGCTCGTATTAGTGAGTAAATAATTATTGGGGTATTTGCTTCACATTTAAATAGGCCAGGTGATTGTATTAAAGTGTTTAATTGGTGGCCAAATTTCGCGAAACAGGTTCCGTTTATAACAAAAAGAGGCAGCTTGAAAATCCGGTACTAAATGAACCTAGTTAGTTTTATAGTTTATTTTATAGTGTTTTAATTATAACAAAGTTATAAAATAAATCGTTTAGTTCGTTAATAAACCAGTGCGTGTTTTATTCACACTGTCGAACCACAAAAACGTTACAATTGGTGTCAGGTGTGCGGTTAAGCGGGAGCTGGAAGAAAGGGAATGTGAAACCACTGGAAAAAAGAATGTGTTGCAGCAGCGGCTTCCCGAAGCGTTAGAACAGGAGGGTGAGAATCCAGAAACGTATTTATTTGAAGGTCCTTGCATTTAATGGTGCAAAATTTAAACGATCTAAAACAAAATATTCTGAAAAATTCCAATGAGTTGCAACAAAAAATGTTGGAAAATTCTAGCGATCTACAACAGAAAATTTTGGAAAATGACAACGATTTAAAGGACGATCTGCAAAAGAAAATCCTAGAAAATTCCAAATATCTGAAAGTCGACTTACAACAGAAAATGCTGGAAAATACTATCGATGTGCAAGAGAAAATACTGGAGGACATCTTGAGGTGGAAGACTTAGAGAACGGTTTTGTTGGGTCAATTGTCAACGAGATGTAAAGGAATGGTGCAAGAAGTGCGCCGTTTGCGCGGCAAGCAATGGACCCCAGAAGCGCCCAAAAGCTCCAATGCGACAGTACAATGTGGGCAGCCCATTTGAGAGAATTGCAATCGACGTGGCGGGTCCATTTCCGGAAACAGAATTTGAAAATAAATACATTATCATTGTGATGGACTACTTCAGCAAGTGGGCGGAAGCGTACGCCTTGCCAAACCAGGAAGCTGCCACAGTAGCCGATGCACTTATTAAGGAGTGGATTTGTCGCTTTGGTGTCCCAAGGCAGGAACTTTAAATCTACAGGGTGTCCGGGAAAAGGAGGTCAATCCGTTAACCATATATTCCTTGAGTTAAAACAATAAGACTTTCATAATACCATTTTTCAATTTAGGGATTCATGTTCGATATACAGGGCGACAAAGTTTGAAATTAAAAACTGATTTTTTTTAATAATTCGAGTAATTGATAAGATACTAAGTTTAAATTCGGTACACTACTTCAACATAAATAGTTACATTTTTTGAGACCAACAAAACAAAAAATAATTGTCAAATAATCAAAATAGGGGGGTCCAGTACTCACTGACTCCCCCTATTTTTTAGTACGTGCGCCAATGACTTCCAAACGGAATTTTTTTTAGGTAATCATTTATTGTTGAAAATGTTTTGTCTCTTATAAAATTTTGATAAAATGATTTGTTTTAGAGATAACTTGTAAAGTATGGGTCAGTCCATATCAAATTTTCAAAATTTAATTTTTTTTTTTTTTTTGAAAAAATGTAGGTCATGTGATATATCATAAAAAGTTCTCTAATAGGCCTTTAAAATAAGCCATCACTCACCTTTCTACTTTTAATAGTTTACGAGATATCGCTATTTTTGTAAGTACTTGCAAGACCCAAATTTATCGGAATTTTTTGATTTTCAAAAATCAATAAAACAAAAACCACCTATCGAAAAAAATTCATATATGGGATTTTTGAGTTTTTTAGTGAGGTAAACAAATTTACCAAAAATGATCAAAATCGGAGATGGTGGGGGAAGAACCTTTGGTTGATTTGATATGGACTGACCCATACTTTACAAATTATCTCTAAAACAAATCATTTTATCAAAATTTTATAAGAGACAACATTTTTTTAACAATAAATGATTACCTGAAAAAATACCGTTTGGAAGTCATTGGCGCACGTACTAAAAAATAGGGGGAGTCAGTGAGTACTGGACCCCCCTATTTTGATTATTTGACAATTGTTTTTTGTTTTGTTGGTCTCAAAAAATGTAACTATTTATGTTGAAGTAGTGTACCGAATTTAAACTTAGTATCTTATCAATTACTCGAATTATTAAAAAAAATCAGTTTTTAATTTCAAACTTTGTCGCCCTGTATATCGAACATGAATCCCTAAATTGAAAAATGGTATTATGAAAGTCTTATTGTTTTAACTCAAGGAATATATGGTTAACGGATTGACCTCCTTTTCGCGGACACCCTGTATATTGTTCCAGAATGTCTGTAAGATTCTTAACGAGTTGCCTTTTAAAGACTTCATGTATTTATATTCGAGAGGTAAAAAGGCTTGCTATGGTGTCACTCGAGAAGAACAAAAAGATCTGTTCACGGTTTCGGCCGATTACTCCTTGGCTCACTGTGTTGCAGAATACCTTAGGATGTCCAGGGGAATAGCGGTTGTCTTTAAAAACAAGTTTGGACGGGTCGACGAGCTACGAAGCAAAGTCCCAAAGTTGGAGAGGTGCTTAAAATTGGGGATAATGAGCGGATAGGCAAGAGAAGTATCTTCTATCTGGTAACGAAGCAGCTCTCCCATCAGAAGCCAAACTACCGTGACGTATGGAATGCCTTAAATAAATTAAGGGATACCCTTTTGTCCAAGGACATCATGAACCTGGCGATACCAAAGATTGCTTGTGGACTTGACAGTTTGGACTGGAGAATAATTAGAAGTATGGTGGAAGTTATCTTCAGATTTAGTGGCATACACATTCTTGTCTGTTGCCACAACCCTAAAAAACAACCGGAAGAAATACCGTAGACTGATACTTTTATAGGACGTCACAATACAAGTTTGGATCTCTATGCAAATATCGCCATGGAGCTGAGGACCATTTTCGGGACGAAAATGTTTTAAGACGGGGGCAATGTAGCGAGTACCGCTCTGGATCTCGGAATGATGACTCATCGCTCGCTGGAATATTCGGGAATGCACGTAGGCACTGAATATATAAAAAAGGGCGCAACATGGAGTAGTCATTCAAGTTTTGGTACTCGCGACGAAATAAATAAATATACGTGCAAATAAATAGACTCTTGAACAGTAGTGATATATAAATAATTAGTAGTTAAGTGTTTAGTTAGTTTTATAGTTTCTTAGTGTTTTAAGTGTAATTAAGTTATAAAATAAATAGTTTAGTTCGTTAATAAACCAATCGTGTTTTAATTCACACTACGAACAGTAAAAACATTACAGTATTCAAACGGGGAATCATCCTATATTTTTCCGTTTGCTGTGCAGTATTTTCCTAAATTCTTAAACTAACCATTGTAATTCTGAAACCTATCATAAAGATTTCTTAATTTAACATAAGCAGTAAACGTAATAATATAATTTCTTTCTTTGAATATACTTTGACAGAAATATAACCTAAAATACCTAGAAAAATAAACACAACCGCTAGTTTAGCTGTCTACAAACTGTCATTTTAGTTTAAACTTATTTCTTGTCATTATTAATTTATTTATCATGTTTACTCATAACAAGAATCTTTACTTACAAAAAAAACTATTACATTTAGAGTTTAATTTAGAAACAAGACTTTTAGATAAGTGTGTGGAAAGAGCAAGAAATGTAGAAACCATAGCTATAAATGTAGAACCAAAACCTTTAACCCCTGACCAACCCAATATACCAGTTAAAAATTGTGATGTTACCAGACGTCCTTTAGGATTTGGTAGAAATGGAGTATTAAAAATTAAAAGAGATCTTCATGATAAAGATTGTAATATAAGAGTAGCTGCTTTGAGTACATTACTGGAATTATTTAGAAATCCAGAAATTATTTATACGGGTATTAATCAGGGGTTTGTGTATGCATTGGTCGATTTAACATTGGAAGAAATGCCATACATAAGAGAAAGATCATTAATGGTACTATCCATAATTGCTACTGTAAATGAAGGAAAAAATAAAATAGTAAATAATTCTAGGCTTCTCCAAAATTTTAAAGATCTTTTAAATGATGATAATATTCTTGTCAGATATCAGTTAGCAGTTCTGCTTAAAGAGGTTTCCGAATCGTGGGAAGCATCTTTAATTTTACAAGATAATAATTTTATTAAATATATAATGGAAAGGTTGGATATTGATCCAACTGAAATAAAAATTCTTCATTTAAACGCCTTAAAAAATCTCATGTATTGCCAAGGTGCATGTCAGGCCATTCATATCCTAAATGCCTACGCAGTTTTTTGCAAATTTCTGGAGGATGACAATAAATATATTTTGGAAGGCGCCTTGGAGTGTTTGAGAGAACTAACAACTACCAAAGAAGGTCGAAACTTGGCATACAAAAATAACCTTTTGTTTAAACTTAATGACCTTATACACGATCCCCGCCCTGAGGTTCATATAGCTGCTGCAGGAGTTATGATGAACGTCACAATCAAACTAAAGACTAAAATAGTTGCCTTTGAATTCAAAAATTTGCCATTACGACTAATTAACTTGGCACAGAACAATCTTAATCCGCGTATTCAATTATTCTGTTTAGAAACATTGTATAATATATGCGAATATCCTAAAATAAGAAAACAAATACAAACCAAATATGAGAAGGAGTTTTCCAAAATTAAAGTTTCTAGTGAACTTTTGGATATAAAAAAGAAATTACAATCTGTACTTTATTGGAATGAATAAATAATATTTATTTTTTATTTAACATTTTTAAATGATTTATTAACTAGAATTTTCAAAAGGGAATTTCGTAAAAGTTGGGACCGTAATGGCCAAAAACTTATGTAACATTTTCCTAACCTCTCAAACAAATTGCAGTAATTTCGCCCAAAAAATATTTTTTGGGCGAAATTACTGCAATTTAATATGAATCCCCAAATGGCATTTTAATAATAAATATGCAAGAAACACGCAAGCAATCGGATTTTATTAAGACATTTAACAGCCGGGAATTGTTTTCAAATTTTGATTCTTGGTGATTTTGGTTTTATCTTAAACTTAAATTTGACAACTAAATCACAATCATGAGGTCAAAATTATAAAGAAAACATGTCAACAACGTAAATATCGGTTAGTTTTCGCAAATTTTCACCAAAATGTCATTTTGAAAAAGTGGTCTTTTGCTTAGGCCCCTCTGAAAATGGACGTTTGTTGCTTGTCGATGGTTCAGAATTATTAAAGGAACAATCTTTCACCATTTTATCTTCTTGTTCTTAAAAAGACTTAGTTTATTGCCTACCAAAAACCCTTAAATGTACACTTTTGGAAAAAAATCATATTTTCGTTGCTAAGATTCCACTAAGGTAAAACATAATACTCCATTATTTCAAAGTAAAAACGAGAAAAAATATTTCTTTTTTCAAACGGGGCTTGGATGAAGTTATTGAAATTGTTCACCATTTTACATATCACCCTGTACGAAATTTACTTGAAGAACCGTGAGCTTCATATATATAGCATGGATTGCCAGAGCATGGGGCTAGTAGACATTACAGACCAAAATAAAATCGTTTAAGAAACAAAAAAGTTATGTCGTTTTGAAAAAGGACGAACTTTTTGGTCGCGACACATTGAGTGGAGCGCAGTTTAAATACATTATCGTTGTAATGGACTTCTTCAACAAGTGGGCGGAAGCGTACGCCTTGCCAAACCAGGAAGCTGCCAATGCCTTAAAGGAGTGGATTTGTCGTTTTGGTGTGCCGATGAAGATGCATTCAGGCCAAGGCAGGAATTTCGAATCTATATTGTCTGTAGGGGTCTTAAAATTCGAAGACGAGGACGACCGCATTATACCCGCATGCGGCCGCAGTCTGATGGAATGGTAGAACGAATGAATCGAACGATAAACCGGTACCTGTCGAAGGTAGTCTCTAATCACAAAAGCTCATATTTTCACAAGAAAAACAAGAGCTGATTGAGCAAAATGATGGTAATTTTTTAGCGCACCCAAATTACCCTTGAAAAGTTTACCCTGAATGGCGGTTGACCACCATTATGTATAATATTTTATATTATAATATATTATATTCCAAAATTACCTCGAAAATTAAGGACAATTTTCTCTACAAAACTAATTTAAAATCGGTTAAAGTTAAAGTTTTCCGCGATTTAAAATTTACCATACCGTAGGTCAAATTAGAATACATGAAGCACAGTGTTTGTACATTTACTAAACTAAAAAGCATAAATAAGAATTTTCATACAAAACCAAAAAACTGCAAATCGGAGTGTGAACATAATTTATTATCTAAGCCATGAAAATATTTCCTTTTAAGATTTTTTTTTATAATATATAATTTGTAATTAATATTTAAGCATTTAGCATTTAGCACCACTGAATGTTATTGCTTTTTAATAATAAATATACGTATTAGTTTAATTTTCACCATAAACTAGATTTAATTAAAAATACGCTCATCGTCGACAATTGTAAATATAAATGATTCTATAGTATCATTTATACTTACAAGTTAAGTCTCTCGCTGCCTTTTAAGACAGCGAGAAAAAAATTCGTTAATATTTACGCGTTTTAAAAAATCCTTAAGAAATAGTGAAGGCATAAACAAAAGTTCGGTCGTATCAACCTAAAGACGGCTAAATCTATGAACAGGCTTTATTTGTGCGTGTACTAGTACTAGTGTACTAGTACTAGTACTATAGTGTAATAGGTTTAGGTATCTTTAAAACTAGGTTTGGGTCCAACTTACATTCTGTAATAAAAAAATTCAACATAGTCAACGCGACCGTGTGTCCGCTAAACATGTAGTCCCCGCAAGTCCTAACGCCTTGTATGGACATGCCAGCGCCCCGCCAAATGATGTACGCCTGAGAAATTTTGGTCTGTAGGTCGCCAAAAAGGCTTCCGTCTGCCATCGGATAGTTTCGGGGCTCACATTGTAAGTGAGCTCCTGGCACGCTCAGCGAAGTGATCAACATTGTCACGCACCTCAAAAGAAACACTGTTCCGGAGAGAGCAAAGAATCTTCGCATTAATATAAATCTAAAAAAAAAAAAATTAAGATTAGTATCACAGATCATACAACTTATTAGTATCTCGATTAGTATATAAAAAGAGAAACAGTTTTAAATGCTGAATGCTAAAGTAAGCGAATCCAAAGAATTCAGGCCTAAATTAAAAATAATCCAGCACGTCCAGTTTTTTAAATTATATTTTTTTTTTAAATTTTAATATTAAAGGTTTATATTTAATAAATAAGTTTTCCTTATAATATGTGTAAGTTATACCTTTAAACCACTGAGCAAGTCTATTATAATATAACTTCAGGTAAACATAAGACAAACAAAAACCCGACACCCCTAACCCCCTTCATAACCCACCAAACACCCTTCTTTATGAGATTAAAATTATATCTGCTCACCATTGCTAACTTCGTTATCATTCGAGCTACAAAGTCGGTTAAAATAACGAGTTAGTGGCATTTTTTTCGGCCGCATGGTGGCGCCACATGTTGTGCTTTACACTTGTGGGCATGTATTAAACGAAGGGCGGAAAATTTACAGCTGTCAAGGTCACGTCATGTCAAAGTCATGTTGACATCTGTCATTTTTCTAACCCTTTGATAAATAGAAAAGTTCCGGGTTTAATGAAATACGAACTAACAAAGAAATTATGACGCATTTTATTGGACTGCACTTCAAAATGTACACCTTTAAATTTGAGGGTGTAAATGCGTTAAAAAATCGAAGTGTGGTTAAATATAACGTTGTCAAAAATTCTATAACGTTCCAAGATTATTTCGATTGTCTAAATTTAAAACCTGACAAAATTATAAATCAAAATTCAATAAAGTTCATCGCGCACCATGTTTATATTGTCAATCAACAAAAAATTGGTCTAAGTTGCTTTGACAACAAAATATACCTTTTAAACGATTCACACGAGACTCTTCCTTGGGGTCATTATAGTATTATTTGATTTTATTATATTTATTACCTTTCAATTATTTTATTTTTTATTATTAATATGGGTAACTATATGTTTTTCACTTTAGCCAAAGTTTTTTTATATGCTGTAACCCATAATTTGTATTAGTTTTTTATGCGCATCTGTTGTAGATCCCAAACCTACATATTTGCAAGTTACATTACTTTTAATTTTAAAAAACACACACAACAATTGAAGAAAAAAGGATTTGTGATTTAAGATGGACAGAACCAATGATGGCGAAATAAAAACTGTATATTAATTATATTCTATTAAGAAGTATTTATTTAAAACATGTAAAATAAAACGATTTTAAATAATAAGTATTTTTTTATTTGCCTCCTTAGATATTGTACATTATAATGTTGTACTATCATTTTTGTTTATCCAACTTTTTTTTCATTTAATCCAAACCATTTAACATATACTTTTGTTCCTTTTAACCTTAATTTTTTTTAACTAAATGAATATCATGAAACTTTGCCTTTTGCAATTCGAATTCATAAAATCCTCTCAAAATAGGTTTTCCATACTGAGCTGCAAGTGGTAGGTTTTGTTAATTTAACCTGTTTCACAGCGAAAATTTCATTTGACCAGTTTGGTGTGTAGCCCTTAAAAAATGCTTCACGATATTTGCTTATTCGAACTTTATCTTTAATTTTAAATTTGCTGTTTGGACTGAACATTTTTATTTTGCAAAATGTTGATGATTTTAACAGACTTTTTTCATTCTTAGCATTTACATCAATTAGTTTTATTCTGGTAGTTCCATATTTAGTAGAATTGTATTTGGTTATTATTTTCGGTAATAATTTCATCCACTTGATAACCTTGATAACTAAATTCTTCTATTTGCATATTTTTCGGAAAATTTGGCTTTAATAAAATTGTTTTTATTGCCTTTGTTACATCTTTATTTTTAATGGGCACTGCCCACACAAATTTGCTAAATGCATTTATAACTACTAAAATATATTTAAATCCTTTATTATGTTTTGCTTAGGGGATCATCTCGACCAGATCACTTTGAAATACATCATTTAATCCGCCAACACTTCTTCGTTTAAAGTTTTTTCTCTCCGGTGCTTACTATTACTATTTACTGTTTATAATCTATTGGGGGAGTTCATTGCGGTTGGTTTTTATTTTTCTTCATTTATAAAATTGAATAATTAATGTAATATTTAATAAACAATATGCGGATTTTAAATGGTTTTTGCTCAAGTAATTATGCAAACCACGTCCGAACTTATCAACAGACATGTTAGAAATGTTTGAATGTATGCAAACTCTTCGATTATATTAGCTTCTTTTAGCTCTTCATTTATGCTGTTTATTTCATTCACATGACTATTATTACCCTCAAATTAAGAACTAATTAATAACCTTAATCGTTTAACTAGCTCATTACAGTCATCCCAATGCACATATTCTTTTGGTTTATTTGTGTATTGCATTTGTAATCCTTCTCAAAGAAGTTGTTGTTTTGGCACACTAAATTTGATTAGTATTGTTTTTCGGTTTGTTCGTTTTATTTTTTTGAATCAAGTATGGGATTAATTACATTTATATACTTATTTCCTCTATTTTCTTCTTTTTCCGTATTTGCATTAAAATTTATTTTGTGTGCATTCGTGCTTAATGTAATACTTTTATAATTATTAATATCTTCTGAAGTTAATAAACTTTCGTTTGGTTTATTTTTAAATAATAATTTATATAAACCATAAGTACCCTTATATATTTTATCTTTTTTTCTATTGTTTTCCTTTATAAAAATGTCATTTCCTTTAAAATGCATTTCTGAATCTCCATGGTGAAATTTTTCCAAAACTGGCTGGTTAGTCAAATAATGAGTATTAAATTTATTTTCAGTGTCTCGTATTAATCCTTTTAACATATTAACGTGGCATTTGATTTGATCAAATTGATCTAAATACTAATTAAAAGAAGTATCTTGTTTATATAATCATCCAAGGTAGAAAATTGCTGTTCGCGAATACTGTCATCGTAAAAATAACTATCTTGTAAGGTGTCGCCTGGTAATGTATCGGCTCGTAATGTGCTATCAAATATTTCACCCTCATCAATAAACTCTGGTACTGCTGCCGGTTTTTTTTATTATATATATATATATTTTTAACATCATGCTCGCTTTTTATTGCCTCTTTCTGCAAATGATGGTGAAGCTTTTGATATTAATTGCTTTTATGGTTCCAACTCATACTCTGTTTGAAATCTAATTAGTAATACACAATAATAATAATAACATTTAATTTAGCTTTAATATCGTTTTTAATTTTTATTAATTTTTTGGTTAATATTTTATCTTAGCATAGCATATTTGTGCGTGTTTATGTTGAAATGGTTTTTGTTATACTAAATTTAATTTTACATTACAATCATATTTATTAAAATTCATCCAAACCCAATTTTTTTTAAAGTGCTGTTTATAAATAACAGAAAGCTGTTTTTCATGCCATCTGCACCAAGACAGGTACCGTGAAAAACCCTAAGTGAAACACTTTTTGCTTAAACATGAGAAAAACTAACCAAAAAAATAAACAAAGTGCACCACCAACAAAACAACATTAAGATAATAGTAACAAAACAACAACAAAAAACCAAATCCGTCCCAATTCTTAACGCGGTCATTCTCAGGAAAGCTGACTAGGACAATAAATCTATCAATAACGAGCAAGACTAAACCCATAAATGAAAGAAAACGGTCCCAACAAACAAAGCGTTAAACGAAACGATACCAAATAAAAACTTGAAAATTCTAAACGAACATTAATTTAAGAAAACAAACGCAGAATATAAACACACAACCCGTATTCTAACGGAATGGGTAATTACATTAGTATACAGTAAAACTCAAAAAATACCTTCCACGGTAACTGCCTACTCGCATCAATTTCACACCAACTGTTTAATACAGAGATAGGTCGCAACGCGAAAGAAACAACAGCCGAGACTTGACAAGTGCAGGAACAATCCAAATTGGACACTGACACAGACAATAACGGTCAAGATCAGTAAACTAGGCCCCTTCAGCAAACTAACAACTCCTCAACTCCAAACAATTGTTTGGAGTAATACTAACTTCCCGTGTAGGGGGATCACGCGTCGTATGCAGATTTGCCTTGGCGTAATTGTCCCCTAAACACCAAAATGTCTATCCCTCCCGTCCTTCCTCCTTCATTATCTTACTGGGCGTACAGCATCGACCCGGCGAACCCGGGAATGGCTATTAAAACTATTGGCATTTCGCTCTCGAGCCCCTAATAGGGTACATTACGGGACGCAATGGACATTCGCACCCAGCAAGCACGGGTGAAGCCGTGTCGGTGCCGATGGCGCAAAAAAATCGGCGTAAGGTAACAGAGCGCACAGGGTCCGGGAGTGATGAGGCAATGAGACCGGTTATACGTCTCTTATACTCATACTGATACTCATACTAATAAGTTAAAAAATGAAATAAATATCTTTAGTATTAGAAATATTTAAGAAACTTCAACATGTCTGTTTATTATTTGAGCTTTGGTGCAGATAAACCATTAACGATTGAATAAATTATTGAATTGGGACAATTTTTTACTACATCTGCAACACCTATCGATGATTGGTATGCATTAGAAGAAGAATGGTGTAAAAGCTTGGATGATTCAAAATATTTATTGGAAGAGCAATTAAAACAAAATCAACAACAATTTACTAATAAAGAACTCTCACAACAAAATCAGAAATATCAATTTATTGAAACGGAAGTTGAAGAGAACAGCTTCGACGTTTTAAATGATACATTGGAAAAAAATTTCCAACAAAATCGTTGGAAATACAATTCCAACAAAATCAGCACCAATTTGACGATTTCAACAATAATATTTTAAATTATTTAAGGGAATAGCAATTTAAACAAAATCAGCAGCAACAATCTACTAAAGGTTAGAGGAGTTGGTCAAATGTATTACATAAGACTTTAAAAAATAAAATATTTAAAATAATATATGTACTCAATCAGTGAGGTTAATATATTAAAACAATAATTGATA